CGTATGTGATATGACAGGCCGAGCTCCAAAGGCAGCTTCTGTGCATGTATACATTCCTAAGCATTTCTACAGTTAATGAAAAACGATGAACATCAAGACCAACCCTCATGTTGCTAGAGGCCTATATGTTGAGATAATGTCTGTACTGCACACAATGTATTATATTAATCACAAAAAAACAGCAGAAGTGAGAGAGCAAATGCATTTTTTTTAAAAAGTGACATTAAGGAAAAAAACCTCTCAATGATCAAAAGTTGACCTTTGGGAATTTATATATTGGATGTCAAAAGTCTAGAGCCAAAGGGAACACCAAATTCAAGGGTTCTGCTTTGATTAACCACACCAAATATATGACTGTCCTTTCATTATATAAATTATCTGTGCACTTTTTTAAAAATCAGCAATGCATCTCAGAACAAACTGTCCAGCAAGAATCTGCCCTGTATTAGCTAAGCGTTATGCCAGGGGCTTAGAGAAAGAGATTTAAACCTATCATGTCCTCAATGAGGCCTACAGTCTTAACTAGTTTGACCTACGTTAGATGAGAGGAAAATGATCTGTGGCGTTGCTATGTGCCAGGCTGGGCGGTAGAGATGGCCAGTACTATTTTTCAACAGAATGACAGTAATTAGGAGCTGGCATATAAATGGAATTATTTCTGATAGAATAATTGTTTACGGTTCGGATTCCGACATTTAACTAGTCTGGGACTGAGTCTCTGCTCAAGCGCTCATCAGCCGTGGACACTCAGAGAAAGTCCCCATTTGCCAGGTGGCAACTGGAGCAGTCTGTCTCAGCTAGGAGACTTGCCGGGAAGACCGAACGGGCTCAGGTTCCACACTTTCGTTCCTCTTTCGTTACTGCACCACCACACCTCACCTGTGCATTACTGTACTGCGGTCACCGAGCTTTGAAGGAGTGAAGGCCCTGCAAGTGAGAACGCCGTTCCAAAGAAGGAAAGGCAGAAGGAAGGAGCCAAAAGTCTGTCCTAGACTGAGAGGCCTTGGTTGACAAGAGCCAGGAGCTGTCCTCCCAATGAGTGGAGACAGAAGGCTGAGTAAAGCAGACAGACACGGGGGCAGATATTCTGTGTAACACTGGAGAGGCCTGCGAGCTGGGGGAGGGGGGAGAGAGCATGCCTAGAAAACATCAAAAACTACTCACTAACACATGACGTGTCTGCCTCATGGTCAAGCTGAGGCTCCTCCTATAACCCACGCAGTATTTCCCCCTCATTTTTATACAAATTCATCGTATAATGTAGGAGTCCATTTTGATCTATCCCTATATGCATACAATATATTCCAATCATATTTTTATTATGAAGATTCCAAATCACAAGTAAAATATGTAACAATCACCCTTGGACTGTTCTTGGGTCTTAACTCCTCAAGTCTCCCCAATATTTCTGCAGAATCTACAATTTCTTTTTCTTTACAGCCCCTCCCCCCCACCCCCCAACCACCTCACATAAGTATCAACCCCTAGCACTGCAAAGCAGTGAAGTTTAGCCGAAGGTTTGCGGGTGAGAGGAAAGAGACCACCTCGGGTGTGTTGTTAAGAGTCAACATTTTCTGTTTCTTTAAGAGCAAAATGTCTAAGGCCCCCAAAGAAAAATAGTCTGACTCAGAATGTAGACTGAAGAACAAACATTGCCTCTTTATGGAGGCTCTGTGGATTTCCAATATTTAAGATAGTGGTATTTGACTTTATAATTCCCAAACGGGATTTTTTTTTTAATCTAAGGATAGGATTAATTATCTTGGAAGACTCTAATCTCTGTCCTCATGTTTGAAACTGCAAGCCGGGAGACGTTTTTTAAACATTATGAAGAGAAGTAAAATCTCTCCTGACAAATGCATTCCTTGAAAAATTGAAATTAGTACTAGCCAAGTGCTCTTTCTTTTCAGAAATGTTAAAATTGAAAATTAGAACTGAAGGATCCTTATAATATACTTCCTCTTAATGCCACTAAAAAGGGGGACTTTAGGAACAATTTTAGAGATAAAAGATTCTGTGAAATATTTAGCTTTTCTCCTTATGGGAAATTTCTTTCTTTTTTTTGAACATCCTTGGCTCAATCATTTCCTAATGTGAAATTACAGATTTTTCAAATTACCATATAAAACTGCAAAAAAATTACACTTGTGACCACAGGAGAGATAGCATACACTATCAATTTGATTTTAAAAGGCATACATCTTTTATACTACCTGTCATTTTTATAATGCCTTTTACAAATTTAATCAATACATTTTAACATTCTATATACTTTAAGTGCAATATACAATAAATATTCAAGTTTCATCTTAAACGTGCTCTAGCCTTTAAATTGTTAAAACTGCAGTGCCCTTTCAATCTACTTACATAATGTCATAAAATATACATTTCAAGGTAAATGAAGTCAGCTACTTCAATTTAGTCCCTCAAACTGGTAGTAAATGAGAGGTTAACACTATGGTGCCAAACCCATTATTGAGTAAATTTAGCACCTTGGACAGCTCTGTAAAATCTTTATTGCTTTCCTGACCTGCTCGTCATGTTCTGTCTGTGTGTTCAGTGGCTCTCAGCTCTGATTGAAAGGCAATATATTAGATCCCCAACACAAACACGCTTGGGGGCTAGTTCACTGGGAACGTAATGACATGGAGGTGAGAGCAATTTTCTGGTCACCGAAATCCAAGCACCTTGCAGGTCTGTTGCACTAACTCATAGAGGACCCAGAAATGTCCTTTCTCCTTCCCATTTGCACAAATAATGAATAGCAGCTGAACCAGCATTGGCAGCACTGAACCAAATGGAGGTCTCCTTTACATCTCCAAGTTGCTACAGCAGTGAAGGGCATTTTTAAAGGGGTGACCATATCATTAGCTTCTGGGGCAAGAAATGTAGGTTCACTCCCCTCAAATTGAAGATGCTTGGTCTGGAGTGACCCTGTGCTCACATCTAACCTATCTGTGCAGAGGCAAAAGCCACAGCCCACCAGCCATGGGCCAAGGAGACAGCACTGGGCACCCCGGGAGGATGGGGACCCTAGGAGGATCTGACTTCAGGAAATTAGAAGCAAGTGGTGATGAGCTTCTGGTTCTAAAACAGCAAATTATCAAAGATCTATCAAATGACAATGTACATACAAAAGATGGAACTGGTTAGGTTTACAACCCTCCTCCACCAAGAATGTTCTTTGCCCTTCCCTCTTGGCCTTCCCTCCTTCCTGATTCTATCAAATGAGTTAAAAGCAGACTGCTTTAAATCCCCAATGAATGCACTGCAAGAAAACAGTTCAGAAATAAAGTATCCTAACAACCCCTGACCATGCTCTTGGTTAACAGTACATTTTTTTATCTCGAAGATGAAAAGAAAGAAGAATACTTCCTCACCCAAGCCCAAACAATGGCATAAATATTCATTTGAAGACATCCATGAAGACATTCTAGAAACATCAAATCTTAATAAATAAACGGACTCGCCCCTGTTTGTTCTTCATCCTTCCTGTCAGCCAGATAAAGCCACGAGGTTTTAGTGAATGAAGTCCACGCTGAATTGGTTTGAGGACAGGGTTTAGTGTGCTCACACGGTGGTAAATTATTCGCTGAGGTGGTTGGACAACACTGCAAACTATAGTAGTAAATTATCTTGTAGCTTGCATTAAAAAGTAAAGAAATGATTTCAGATCTATGGGTTCCAAACCCATTGATTATATAATGCTACCTAAGCAAATATTGGAATGGCTTTATAAACAGGATCTAGCAGCTGAAAGCAAGCATAAATGCATGTATTGGGAATGGAGAACCTCTTTCTCGTTTTTGAGTTTAGGACATTATATATGTCACCAGTCGTTACTGCAGTATGACAACTGTTTTATCTTATATCGTAGAGAACTTAAAATTGAAAAATGCTAATACAGATCTAAAAGCTTGTCATTCCCACAGTTGTTCGTGGATTTTTGAAGAGACTATGGTGACAGCAAAATGAACGCAATTATATCCCTATTTTCTGATCAGCGTCTGCCGTACATGAAAACTGAAGTTTAAACAGCGGGCCTCTGCTTCTCCATGCAGAACTCCACTGTGGAACATGTTGGAAGTTAAGCTTCTGTTGAAACTTTACTAGCAATGAGAAATAGTAAACAAATCCTCTGTAGATCGCTGGGCTCCCACACGTTCACTGTCTGCTAACGCTCCCCTGTCCCTGCGTCAAGCCTCGCTTGGCTCCCTGTCCTGCTCTGGTGGAGAGCAAGAGGAAGGAACAATGATTTATTTTTCTAGTATGAAAAGAATCACCACCATTGGTGATTAGTTATTAGAACTATGCAAGCTAAATGAGTGAGGAAGCCCGCCTACATGAGAAGAGGAAGAGATGTCTTTCCTTCCACCAGCAGGCGGGAGTGGAGGGAAAAGATAAACAGAGCAGACATGGCAAAGAACTGCTAGGAGAGGCAGGTGTTGCTGGTCGTGAACAGGTGTGTGTGCAGGCTTCTGGGACAGGCCACTCGTGAGAGTTTATTGCATTGCCCCCTTATATCATGGCTGTGCCAGAGAGAGAGAGAGAGAGAGAGAGAGAAAAGAAGTTACATGCCTCTAGTAGCTAAAGATTGATTGGAAATCCCTCCAAAATGACCCGTCTCATAAGGTCATGGTTCCCAGAATAAGCAATTAAGGGCAAAATAAACACATCTTAGAGATTCATACCATGCACCAAATGACATCGATTGTGGCAATCTAGTAAATGACCTCAGAATCGTATTCAGCAATAAACATATGAGTGCTTTATCGTGCCTGTGGCATACTATTGAGTGATGTATTTTATCTTTCAGCACCAACAATGTTCACCTTTTGACTTGATTAAGTGTATATGTGAACAAGGATAAATTGGTGATTTAGCACATTCTGGGGGGTCCCCCAAGCTATGACATTTACAGCTCTGTCTTGGCAAGGGATGGTGGCCACGCGGACAAGATAATGACACTCAGAGGACTGTATCTGCTTTTCTCTTGACAGGAAGTGATCCTCAAAAGGGCTGCCGATCTGGTGGAAGCGCTGTACGGGATGCCGCACAACAACCAGGTGAGCCAGCCGCCTCTAGCCTGAACTTCCTCCGCCGAAGGGCGCGGCACGAGGAAGCCTAAGAACTCCCGAAGCCCTGCATGAGGAAGGCAGGCGCGGCACACTGCAGGGCTAGCCCCTCTTTCCCTCTTGGTGAATCTTTTATTCCCTTTCCTATTGACTCATTTTCCCTTCCTGGAAAAAGTACGACACTTAAAACTCATCTCTACAGGAATGTCCTTCATAAATGAAGAAGAGAGTTGTGTTAATGACTTCTTCCAAAATATACGATGAGGCCAGAATGAACACCTCTATTTCATGGAGGAACTCTGGGTATAGAACTCAGATTGCTTAGGAAATGGAATCTGAGAAATCCTTCGGCCTTTACATGTCCTCTGAGTTTGTGTGGAAGGGACAAGGTCCCGCTGAGACTCGGAGCCCAGGTTGGCACCTTAACAGTCTGTCCTTAATCCCAGCAGGAGCTATGGATGCAGCCTCCTGCCCCTGCGCAAGATGCTTTCTCCCACACGTGAACCTCAGAGTTCCTGCTGGCAGAGAAGGCACTCACTATGGTGGCTCATATGCCCACTAGAATGGACTTAAGGGCCAAATGCATGGCATGAATGCATCTCAGCTTTCTCCTTAAGTGAGGTCTTTGCCTTCCTGAGCCTCAGTTTCCTCAGCATAGCAAATGATGATGCTAGCCTCACAGGTGTGCTTGTAGGACACAGCGAGCCACTGAGCGATCTCAGCAGGGTGCCTGGGCCACAGTCAGCTCTATTTGAGTAGGGGGGGGACACCTGAAGGGGTATTCATTTGCTATCTTTTTAGGAAATCATTCTGAAGAGGGCGGCCGACATCGCAGAGGCCCTGTACAGCGTTCCTCGGAATCACAACCAACTCCCAGCCCTCGCCAACACCTCGGTCCACGCAGGGATGATGGGTGTGAACTCCTTCAGTGGACAGCTGGCCGTGAACGTGTCGGAGGCCTCCCAAGCCACTAATCAGGGTCAGGAACCGGCTCCCCTCCCCCTCCGTCCCTGCCCCCTGCCCAATCTCACGCTTCCTCCTCCACCCGTTTATTGGCCTCGGTGGCTACTCTGCCAAAGGGGCGATCTCTAGTTTGTGTGTTATCACATGTTGCCGTAGGCTTTTGTTTCTAGTCTTGAGGTCTGGACGTCCTCATGGAAGGGTGCATGTGTTCAGCCATCTCTCTGTTTGACTGTCCACTATAAACCATGAATGACGGAGCACAAAGAGGGTTGGAATTAAAGTTCTGAGGGCCCAAGGCCCATCATTCTTGCCCAGGGAATAGGGACCTGTTACCTCCAGGGTACATCTCTTAGATTGGGATTTATTTCTGCTCCCAAATGGTAATTTATAGTCGCTGCATTGCTGCCTCTCACAGCCCTGCTAAGTATTTATGACCCCCTCAGAAATGTGTCTTTTGCTCGCTCCCTATTTTAATCATAGAGCTAGTCCCAACAACCTGTACTCATGAATCACAGGCCCCCTCCCTCTGGCTTGCCTCGAGGGGCCGTGGACCGGACACTTCCGGTCTCCCAGCCTCCCGTCTGCCATCCCAACGCCACCCTCACCCTGGGTTTTGCCCCCACCCTCAGGTTTCACCCGTAACTCAAGCAGCGTGTCGCCACACGGGTACGTGCCGAGTACCACCCCTCAGCAGACCAACTATAACTCTGTCACCACAAGCATGAACGGATACGGCTCTGCTGCCATGTCCAATCTGGGGGGCTCCCCAACCTTCCTCAACGGCTCAGCTGCCAACTCACCCTATGCCAGTAAGTAGCTGTGTGTGTCCGTCCCGCTTTCCTGAGGAGCCCAGCGCAGGCTGCAGGCCCCGCGGACCGACCGTGCTGTCTGAGGAGCCCGGCCTGCGAGGTCCTGCCCCCGACCGCTGCCGCACAGCATCCCCCCCAGCAGCAGTCTCTACTGCTGCTAGCCCCCCACGCCTCCCCAACAGTCAGAACCTGGCTGGCATCAAGAGTAGTCACAAGAACCTATGCTTGGGGGCAGACGGCAATGCAGGGGTGTGGGCTGCCAGCTTGGACCAGTCCCTGGGCAGTTCACTTCCTCTGCCAGTCCCATGTTTCTCACCTGGACGAAGGAGAAGGGACCAGTACTCACCCACCCAGAGCCGGGAGGCAAGCAGCAGGCCTTGCTCACAAGGACTTGTCCTGAGGCCTTGCACAGGAGATGCATGCTCAGAAATCTGAGTCCTAGCCAGGCACCGGTGGCTCACGCCTGTAATCCTAGCTACTCAGGAGACTGAGATCTGAGGATCTCGGTCCAAAGCCAGACCGGGCAGGAAAGTCCACTAGACTCTTATCTCCAATAAACCACCAGAAAACCAGAAGTGGTGCTCTGGCTCAAGTGGTAGAATGCTGAGGGACAGCGCCCAGGCCCAGAGTTCAAGCCCCACGACCGACAAAAATAAAAAAAGAAATCTAAGCCATAACTTTATCGAGGAAGGAAAGGAAGTGACCGCGGCATACTATAATAGAAGCCACAGTCGAAAACATTAAAATCCTCCTTTAGAAATCCCTCTATGACTATTGTTTATTCTTTAAAAAAAAACAAACAAACCCTCAACATTATCAAAATACACACTGCTTTTTCTAGCAATATAAAACACACAAAGACCCAAATAAATACCCTTTTTGTATCTTGTCCCTGTCTTAAGGAAGTTCAGCTTAAAGGATTTGATTGGGTTCAATGTTTAGAACATATTGAAAGAGCCTCAATAAAATGACATCTTTATATATTAATACGTACATCGAAAGGGTGGCCCGGGTCAGCACGTGGGGTCACTTAGGTTTCCTCTGAGGACTTTCACAGATAACCCAGTCAGATGGGATGCTATGCGGTCTCTCCTCTATGTCAAATGTGTCCAAACTCAGAGGTGTTTGTAGAGGGACCAAAGATGTTACATGAAAGAGTATGCATGAGTTTTTAAAAAGTGCCTTAGCTAAAAACTGTAAAAGATAATGTTGTCTTCCAGGCTAGAAATGTAGGATGAGGTAATCCTTTGAAGGGGGAAAGGTCACTGTTGGCCTTCAAAATAGTTATTCAGAAACCTTGCTGGATGAAATTTCTGTGTAGGGTAAAATAAATTCTACATTTCTACCTTTCTGGTTTGCACTCAGCAGTGAGTTAGCTGAGCATTTAAAATTGCCCCAAACGGTATGCATACATTATGTGTCTGTGCTCAAGAGAATAAGCGTCTGAGGTCAGTTTCCTATTTGATTTTGATTTATCGAAAGATTGTTTCTCATAGATCTATCATTTTAATATTCATCTATTCAATCAGAAAATGTTTCAATCATGACCTGAAAATTAAAAGGTGGCATTCTTAATTAAATCAATAAACTAATTGCTGTATGGTTGCAATCCAATTTAGGGGCTTGGATTTTTCGCCTTCCCAAGCCCATTCAGATACCCAGCGACTTGGGCCTGAGATTGCATCTGTCAGACTGTGAGACCTGAACATTTAATTTCCATTAATTGATTTCCTCAGTGCTCACAAATATAGTATTAAATTCTCAAACAGGCCCTCAGATGGGACGGTTTTATCTGCATAAATGCAAATAAAACAATAAACACAAAGCCCAGCTGATTTGAATTTTTGCTTCTGTAATATTTAATTATTCATAAACCACTCATGTTGAAAAATTCCAACAGAATTAAAAAAAATAAAATAAGATATTTTACTGGTGGACACACTTTCTGGTATGGGGCTGATAACTAATAACGTTATAATAAATGGAGCTGCTGGTATATTTTACCCCTCTCTCTGTTAGCCACCCCCCAAACGCCCCAACTCTAAATACACATAATGATCGCATTTGCCAACGAGATTAATTGCTTTCCTCAGTGAAGCAGCAGAATTTCAAGTCTAGGAATATTTAAAAATCAAACCTCCAGTGCAGGAGGTTTTGCAATTTAAATGTGTGTTATTATTGAGCGTATTTTCACATTTACAAATCCTAAGAGATGTATAAAAATGCTAGCCTCATTAAAAGAAAAAGTACAGTTTAGAAAATGTTTTGGGGAAATTCTGAGGTGGCGGCTCTGTGTTCTGCTCCATGAAGCGTTCCCTGCGTTTGGACAGGGCGCCTTTTGGGCTGATTATCAGGGTGATCTCTCCACCCCCCCTTCCCCCCCCCCCCCCCAGGGCAACTGCTCCCGATGACTGATTTAGTCCCATGCTGCCAGTTTTCCAAAGCCAGGAGGCCAAGGATTAGGCCACCCAGCAACTCTGGGACTGGGTGGGTTCGCATGCAGGGGGCTTTTGCATCCCTCACAGGGTGATGGATAAGTGGAAAGAACATTGGACTTGGGGTAATTTGCTCAGCTACTTTCTGAGGGTCAGTTGGCTCAGGTATGAAGAAACCTCTGACTTCAGGTGGCTTTGCTAATGACAAGGCGAAAAATAGGTGAAGACTGTGGTGTATGAGAAAGCATATAGAATGTTTATTAAATAATATGAGATGTAATAAAGTAGAAGGAAGTGCCCTGGATTTGAATTAAGTCCTTGGAAACCGTTGGAGAGGATTCATAATTTTCTTCAGGAAATGGAGGAAATAGAAAGTGAGTGTATGAAAACATTAGGCTTGGCATGGTGCGTGCAAAATCTGTCTCCTGAAGCAACCAAGAGGCGAAAGCCTGGCAGACAGGACCATGGCCACACTGCCCAGCTCCTCCACATCCCCAGGCAGCTCCTTTTCCTTCCCGGAGATGCCAACGGTCTCCCATCACTGCAATCTGCATCCACCTCACTATCCGACTCTGAGCACTTGCGTAGGGCTCCTAGTCTCCTGCTTTGATGACAGACATGGGGGAGGGGGTGGTAAATGCGGGACAGAGCCTCTCCAAAATCAACGGACACACCACAGCGCCCCCACGTTGGGATCCTGACCTTGCCTTGAACTCACCTTCCTCCTCACACCTCTCAATCCACCACCAGCACTGTACCCTCTGAAGCACGCCTCCTTCCCCCCGCCCCCCAGACCTACTGCTTAGAACCACAGTTTAGGCCCAATCTAGAATGTTCTGTGAAGCCTTCTCTGGTTTCCTTTCTTGCCTTCCCAGAGCTGACCGCACTCTGTACTGCTCCGTCCTGAAAAGAGCATACTGTACACTTATGTCCTTGCCTGGAAAACTCAGGAAGATGGCAGCTGTGTGCTCTGTGCTATTCATCCCAGGCTTGGTGTGTTTGGTTTGGGTGTTGCTGAATAGAAGGGAAGATTTCTTAGGATACAAATTGCTGTCTGTGATTCTAGTCCCTCCTGCGGTCAGCTGAGGAGAGGGGTGGGGGCGGAGAGACAGAGGAAGGATGCTGAGATGGCAGACACTGAGAGAGATGTATTGTGCTCACAAAGGAACTTCTTCAGGATAATCACAGATCAAACGATTCCAGTCCCTAGCACGCTTCTGGGTACACCGTAGACCCGCAGCAAATGTGCAGATTACCAACCGAGAATGGCAGCACATGCTAGGACTAAATCACCACGAGGGTGGTGACAGGGTCCTGCCTGGGCCTCGGCCTCGCCCAGGGCAGCCGGGAAGGGTTGGATCAGCCTCCTCATCTCCTTTCCCATTGTTCTCAGTTGTGCCATCCAGCCCCACCATGGCCTCCTCCACAAGCCTCCCTTCCAACTGCAGCAGCTCCTCGGGCATCTTCTCCTTCTCACCAGCCAACATGGTCTCCGCCGTGAAACAGAAGAGTGCTTTTGCGCCTGTCGTCAGACCCCAGACCTCCCCGCCTCCCACCTGCACCAGCACCAATGGGAACAGCCTGCAAGGTAAGCCCCAGGCCCACAGCCGTGAGACTCAGTATGACTGCCCGGAGGAGTCACTGTGGCTGAGGGCCCGGCCTTGGGCCCTCCCACTCCATTCTCCCTTCTTCTCCCTTTCCCTTGTGTTTCTCCCTCCCCTTGGTTCTAACCATCAGCCCTGTGTTTGCCTACCATGCTCAAGTTGCCAAGAAGTCCTCTTTCCAACTCTAGCAATTCTGCTCAGGCCCAGGATTTGCTTAGGATTAAGGTTTCTCCTCTCTCATTCCCTGATGTCACCATTATCAGGCCAGTCTTTTGTGGACTCCATTACAGGGTCTCTCCCAGGACTGGCCTTCTCTTGAAGTATGTCATTCAGCTTCCCCTTCATGTTGCCTGAGTCAGAGTGAATGTGTGTGGGGATGATGATGAGAGGGCATCCCGCAGCCCCATCGCGGCCCTGAGGTTAAGGCATGGCACACCAAAGACCAAAGACTTACTACACAAAACCAAAAACCCTAGAATACCACTGGAATCTGGCTTATATGAAAATATGGAAAATAACTAGAGTCATCAAGCTTTGCGATGGACTTTACATTCTTCAAAGAAAAGGAACCCCACCCTTCAGACATGAGTCCACCGTTTCTCACATTCTTGCTGCATGCTAATCCGTGAAGTGGCGTCAGCCTGCATGACCTCACTGCAGCCACACGGCAGAGCCTTGTGGTGCTACTCCCAGTCCCTGCCTTACAGAAGATGAGGTGGAGAAACTGCTTGGCTCCCCATAGCTGCTGCCTGGCAAAAGCTGGTGCCAAAATCGAGCTCAAAAATTCATCCCCTCTTTCCCTCTCCCAAGCACTGAGTTACTCACAGAGGGTAAAAAGGACATCCACTGGGTTTCTAAGGCATCTGGCAGGTAACTAAGATCAATAAGATAATCGGCCACCATTTATTGACATGAACAGTGTCGTGTGAGGTGCTGTGCTGAGCGTGGAGGGGCTCTGTTCATTCCTCACAATCTCCTGATGAAGTGTGGGAGCCATTAGCATCATCACTGTCCGCATAGAGCAGCCAGAGCTTCGGGAAGTGAATTCCCGCCATAGAACCAGCCAAGGGTGGAGGTGAATGCCAACCACGGAGGGCTGTGCCCATCCCCCGTGCCCTGCATGGCTCTCCTCAGTGTCTCACCTTCATGCCAGCATGTTACGCGCATGGGTCAGCTAAGAGGGCCTAGAAGTCCTGAAAGGACTCCTATTTCTGATAGATAAGTGCATGCATAGTTATATTTGTACACGCCCCCTTGGAGCTGGACGCTTCACACTGCTGTAAGCCTGCATCAGTTCTCCCCCAAACCTGTGGGGTCGCATAAGGTCTATACGCTGCCCTCTGCATAGAAGGAAAATCAGGAATCAGTTAGCTTAAGGTCACACAGCATATAGAGATGTTCAGCCAAAGCTGAACCTAAACATCAGTTCAGAGCCTAAGCCCCATGCTGCCCACCTCCAGCAGGGCCTTTCGACCCCTCAGAAACCTGCAGGCACATCTGCCTGGCCCAGCCAGGTGGCACCCAGCCCAGGAAGCCCTCGTGCTGATGCCCACTAGCCCATGCATCTTTTTAGAGGGACAAGAAAAGCTGTCCAGCTGTACATCTCTGCATGAGTCAACGCAGACATGTTAGGGCATGGCCTGCTCCACGGAGACAGCCACCCATTCACGCCAGGGGCTCCTTTGCAGGGGCAAGTAAAGCCTTGTCCCCTTCCCTTCACACCTCAGCCATCACACTGGAGAGAAGGAATACGCATCCACAGAGTAAGGAATGATAATACAGGGAGATCAGGTATGTCCATTCCTTTCTCTCACTTTTAAAGCATGTATCAATTGTACAAGGGGCTTTCTTCTGATGTCATTTATGCAAGACCACATACCCGCATCAAACCCATCTACTCCATCACGCTACCTCCCCGCTTCTTGGAAAAGTTCCATAGGTTCTCAAAATACACTGACCATATTCACCCCCCCATCCCCTCCCTCGCCACGCCACTCTCCTTCTAGTACCCACCCTGGGTTGCCAGTCTTGAGCCTGATTAAACGTCCATTTGACCTCAGGAACAAGGTAAAATGGGGGTGGTGGGATGAACACCCAAGGGGTTGTGTTCAGGAAGAAAAGCAGGTGTGCAGAGTGTCATCCGGAGGCCTGAGGCCTTCATGGCATGGGGCTTAGGAAGAGCTGGTGACGGAAGCACGTGGCCCTGATGCGCAGCTTCAAGGTGGAGGCACGTGACATGGTGCATTTGGCCCCCGAGGCTTTTTCAAGACAGCTGTAACCTATAGACGTCAAGAGTGTAGAGTGTCCCAGCTCCCAGCTCCCTGGTCTGCAGCTGAGGCTCTGCTCCTTGGCTGCCCCAGGCAGGCGCAGCGCTCAGTGGCCTTGGTGTCTAGCTCGGGGACATTTTACTGCTGGCTTTGCTGCCTTCCCTTTCAATTAGACGTGAGTGGAGGAGATCCTTTCTGGGCTCTCCTCTACCCCATGTTCTGATATTGAGTGTGGCCCACAGGGAATAAGGGGATATTTTGTTTGCTCAGTACCCCCTGTACTGCATAAGTACAAGTATTTCTGTCCTTATATTTCTACTACTACCCACCCCTACCTCTGCAAAAAGAAAAAAAATCCAGTCTCCATCAGGACATGGGGAACTTAGTCTTAGCACCAGATGAGACATTTTGACTGAGCTTCTAGAACTCTTGGTCTTTAACATTCTAAACAGCACTTCTATCACTAAAAGGGACCTAGGTGTGTTGTGGAATCAGGATGAGGTGCTCTGTTTTGTTCCTCCCCTTCCTCCTTTTTTTTTTATTGTGCCTTCCTCCTTTTTTTCAGTACGACAGTGGCACATACTTACTGGGACCAGGGAAGTTCATAACTGTGATCATTAAGGCAGGGCAAGTGACATTGGAAGACTTGGTTAAACAAGATTAGAGGGGACACATTTAGACTCTAAATATCTTAAAGGCCTATTTACCTGCAACTACCAACCACTCTGCTAATTGTACATCATTGGTTTTCTTTTTTTAAGACTACTCCTTTAGCAACCTCTTTGCCTGCAGCCTAGCAAATACACCCTATAGTCCCATTTAATGTCACGAGGCCATCACGTGATGCCATGAGGTCATCACATGATGGTGAGGCGCTCACACCAGCAGGGTGGGAGGCTTATTCCCAGCTGAGCCTCTGCACTGTCCATATGTTTCTCCCTACTGCCCCTGATGTGCTGTATGTGTCCCAGCTTGACAGGTGTACAGACTGAGAATGTGGGCTGAGGCGGCTCATCCAGAGTTACTCAGCTGACAGACAGCAAACCCCACACATTCACTCTACTCCATTGCGCTATGGTGTTCAAGGCTTTGGGTTAAGTCTCAGGTGGACTACAAAATCCCAAGCTTGAGCACTTTCCCAGTATTCAGAGAGTAAGGACACCAAAGGCAGATGTGCCTGGGAAAGGTTCAGCCCCCAGATGTGAAGTGGAGAGGAAGGAAGGATTAGGCAGATACCAGACAGCTTCGTGGTAGAAGCTACATTGAGATGCACGCACCCAGATGACAGGCAAGTGGGACCATAGCCCAGACAGATGGAGGAACAGGACATTGTAAGCACAAAGAACAAAAGGAGGCAGGTGTGGCTGGATGTCGTGCGTGCTGAGTAGGCAGTGCAGCAACCTGGAGCCCAGGAACCAAGAAGCAGAGCAAAGTCCGAAAAATGAAGTCTTTACTCTGCAGTCATGAGCTCCATCCTTCTTGGAACATTTCTAAATCCTCTGGCTCTACTGTGATTCTAACTAGCTTTGTCTCCCAGTAGAAACAGACCCTTGGAAATTGGCCAGAGGTATTATTTTTTGTTGCTTGTTTTGTTTTGTTTTTAGGACAAAGGCATCATCACTCTAAGAGCCTCACTAGATGTTCTGTTCAAACAGTGAAAACTAATTTAGAAATGGTACTTACTGGACTGCCATCTTGGGGAGCCACAATGTACATAAATTTACTAACGACACTGAGCCGTCATTCAGCAAAACAAAAATGACTGTGCTCATCCCTCCCTCATCTCCAGAGAATGAATTCAGGATCCCTGTGGAAACCAAAACCCATGGATCCTCAAGTCCTATCGGGAAAATGGTACAGCATGTGCACATAACCTTCACACATCTCCCTATGACTTTAAATAACTAAATGTTAAGTAAATAGTTGCATTACTGCATTGTTTAGGAAATAATGGACAAGCAGAAAGTCTGTGTTCAGCACAGAACCAACTGCTTTTCGTTTCAAAAATATTTGACCCTTAACAAAACTAATACTGAGAATTATGCATAGTGATAAGCATGTATATACAGTGTGTCATACTCTGGTCGGAATAACTGGGTAGCTGTCTCAGATGTTTACTATGTCTTTGTTAGGACATCCAAAGCCCTGTGCCCCGTAAGCCATCCTTTTGCTTCTTCCCTCCACACCCTTCGCAGCTCTGGTAACTACCACTGTGCTCTCTGCTTCTATGAGATCAACATTTTAGCTGTGCTTAACATAGTGCCCTGTGTGAGATTTTTGATCTGTGCTTGGTTGACTCTGCAGATGAACCTATGGATATAAAGCACCAATTGTACCCCACTCCCTCTGCTGAACTTAGTCCCCTACCGAGTTCTCCCCGACAGGTTAAGGCCAATTAAACAGCACAGAACAAATTTGAGGAAAGGTGGAAGTCCTTTGAACTGAAAGATGCAGAGAAGGCTTCCTTCCACTCTTACACAGATAAAATCATTGATAATTACTATTGCAGGCTCCCCAGGTATGCTGGTTTTCATAGGCCAAAGACCCAGGTATGCTGGTTTTCATAGGCCAAAGACCGTGTCACCAACTTTGCTCATCCCTGGTCCATAGGAATGTCCTCTCTCTTCTTACAGCTTTTGTCCCCTCAGAATGCAGGCCCATACTTGTCATCTCTCAGAGGACTTCCTTAGTCAGGACTGGCAGTCTTAGGGGCAGAGTTACATGGGACTGGAACCCCCTCTGATGTGACTCTGGTCCTTACCTTGTCCTGGACGGGCTAGGCAGACAAAAGGCCTGTAGGGCTTTCCAGAAAGAGGACATAGTCAGAGACTTGTTCTCTCCACTCTAGATCCAGGCAGGGTAGTAGCCAATCCTGTGGGACTGCTGTGCCGAGCCTGTGCAGTATGTCTCTCACCCAGTAAGCTCATCATTCATTCATGCACGTGCACGCACGCACGCGCGCGCGCGCACACACACACGCACACACACACACACACACCTGTAGAAGACCTCTACTTCTAGTTCTGCAAAATTGTCCCATTTTTTTTTTTTGTTCTTATCAAAATGTAGAAACTCTAATGAAAACTGCATTACCATTTAAGCCAGTCACTTTGGGGGCTTCTGGTAGGGAATGTGGGTCACAGAGCCACCAGTCTTGTGATGTCTTGGCTTGAGGCTCTGGGGGTGTGGTGGCGTCCTGGGAATCTTACTGGGCAAGTCAGCCGCGTTTCTGGAACACGGTGGGCCTCAGATGCCCATCCCTCTCACCCACTTAATTAATCTGAAGATTGCCGCACAGCAACAAGTGAAGCCGCGCTTAAACCAAGAGCTCCAGGCCTGTCGTGCAGAGAGCTCTACGGAAAGGCCTCTCTCCAAGTGGCTGCACTCAGGGGCCACACCCGGTGGTCTTCCCTGGAATGTGCTGTCTTTGGAGTTTTGCACTTTAGGGCATGGTTACCCCCTGACAAATTCTGGGTGGAGGCACGTGTGGGGCCAGTGGTTTCCATTGAACTCTTAAGTCTGTGCGCCAAGGGGCATCAAGACCCTGCCTGAGGCCCCTACTTGTTTTTTAACATGCATTATTTGCCATGTAGAAATTAAGCTATTATGTGATTGGAAAAAATCTTGACCTCCGGTTTCTCTTCAAACAATTCAGAAGTCCCCATGGCTGCACGGGCATTCGGTGTGGTGGCATTCTGGGCTGTCCAGTTCCTGCTCTTCGGGAGAAGGCATGCCTGGTCCCCCTCTCTGCCACGTGCCCGGCTGAGGCTCTTGTGAAGTTTGCCATTCCTGCCACCACCACGTGCCCACATCAGTGAGCTTTGTGATGGACTTACATGGGGCTCTAGGTGCAGGCTTAATCCAATTAATCTAACAAATTATCCAGAATACTGAAATATACTGCCTAGACTTTTTTTTCAATTCTGGCCATCCAAAGGGGTGCTTTCAGGGCTCAACTGATGAATGAGGAGGAGGGAGAGATTCATGGACCAACGCAGCAGGAGGTGGAGAGCAGAAGCACTGTTACTTTGCTTTGAATCACATAGACATTGCCTGAGTCACACTGCTGTCCTAAGGGGGCTGTCCTTAATGAGAGCACTGGTAGAGAGAGAAGACTAGTCTTGGCCATAGGCTTTCTGCTCCTCCAGGAGCCTGGATGAAGAGGCCCTGGGCTGTCGCACTGCGGGTGGGGTGGGGGCGGTCTGGCCCTCCTGTCTTTGGGGCCTCACACCCTTGGATTCTCAAGTGCAGGCTGGAATCACACACTCACGCATCTCCAGTTCAGTGAAATTCCCAGCTCAACAAGATCTTCGGGGACTACTTTTCCAACTGATCCCAGATCTTGGGGTGAGGGGGGCTTGTTAAGTTGGTCTGAATTTGGCCAAAGACAGCTTCCTGTTTCTAAGAAAAAAAAAAAGGCTTAGGAGGTCTTAGGAAAGGACTCCAGGAGCTTTTGGACTGCAAAACAGCTCTTGCAAAACAGCATTTGGATGATTTACGTGTAAATGAATCAGAAACATGTGGATTGAATTTCCTTGTGAATACAGATGGGTTTAAAAATTAACGGAAAAAGTGTTTGGGAAAATACTTTTGGGTTTTTCTTTTAATTGAATCTCAAATGGCGGGGCTGGTGGGGGAGGGGCGTGGGCCCCAGGGCTCCACTGGCCTCTCCAGTGCCCACTGCAGGATTTCCACAAGTGCTTTTTTTAAAAAAAATTAAATTTTATTATTTTTTAAAGGCGCATTTTTCCAGACACAACGGCTGATAGATGAGTGCTACTTTCTAGAGACAGTCATCACTAACAAGAACATTAATTTAAACTTAAACTTGCCACTAAAAAGAAAGCAGTGACTTTTTCTCAGTGCCTTCACTAAGAGTCCAAATGGGTCCTGCTTCTAATGTTTGGCTTCTGATTCTTGTCTTGACTTATCCCAACGTTGGCACGTTGTATTAGTTGTCTTGTGGCTCTCCCCTGACCCCTTCCACCCACCTTAGGAAATAGGCCATATGAAATGCATGGCCTATTTAATATGAGAGACAGGAGACAGCCCAGGGAAGCTTAACGGAACACATATCATTGTCACCCATATCACTGAGCAGAAAGGGTGGGTTAGCTCCCTCCTAGGAGCAGAACCCGGGCTAATTACTTGCCAGGCAGGACTGCTTTTGGACCTTGGGTGTTCTGATGGGGCTGGGGGCTCTAGCTAAGGCCGTGGAGGTCTGAGGAGAAACCCGCCCCCCCCCCCATGTAGGTATTGGGAAGCAGTTCTGATATTATGTGGCTTCCAAACTCTTTGTAAGATCTTGACTCACCATAAGCACGTCACCCCAGTTTGCTAGGCTCCAATTGTCTATGGCTCATAGGCAGATTATCCCAGAAATGTTTAGCAAAGCAGTGGTAGGGAAGATAGTTGAGATTTTCATGCGGATGTGTCTTCTCTTCCTACCTTGCTACTACTCTTTGCTTTTTCCTAACTTCATCTTCCCAATGAACAATGCCTACCATGGCTGCCCTTTCCTGCAGGACAGGGCTTGGGGAGCAGGGGAGGCCCTCAGATGACAAATGAACAACTTCTCTCTTGCTGTTTTCCTGTAAACACGGAGCATCGGGAGGGCTGTGAGCTGCTACGTTTTTGTGGTGGTGGTGGCGGTGGTTGTTTATTTGGCTGGTAGACATTGCTGGCACTGGTAAGGTGCCAATTATTTTATATTTGGGATACAAAGAGGCAGCAAGGCAGAGTGACAAGCAGAAAATTCTCACTATTTTGCAAGGTTCCAGGCTTCAACTTTCCCAGTGGTATTCCAACTATGCAGCTTTCTAGTTAGGTTTGCAAAATTGAAGTCAGATTCAGAGGAATGTTTAGGATATGCTGTTCCATTAGAGGCCTATCCACAAGCTGATATCATTTCTAATAAAGCAGATGTATATTTCATGCCAAAACTTCTTTCCCGAGGAGACGCAAGCACACGTGTGGTTAATATTCAATCAGCATAGTCATGTGTGGGTGTCTTTTTTTTTTAATGTTTTTTTTTTTTTCTCAGTGTAGCTGTTTGCATGGAAAAACCATTGACTTGTATCTTTTCTTTCCCTAGCGATATCTGGAATGATCGTTCCCCCGATGTGAAAGAATTGCCTTGAAGAATTTTATTAATGAAGAGGTTGGATTTGGAGACAGCGAGGAGAATAATCTGATCCAAGTCCCAGAGCGGAACTTTTAACTCAGGCCTTTTTAAGAGGAGTCACAATAACTGCAGATTTTTAAACGAACAAAAATCACCGACCTTGCAAATACTGAAATTGGCAAGGGTGTGCAAGGGCAGGGTGTTGGTTAGAGTTGTCCCTCCCAAGTATTTGGGAGTGATATATTTATTCTGTATTGATAAAAGCAACTCCACTTTTTTTTCCTTCTCTCTCTTTTTCAAAAGCCTAACTCTGCATCATTTGTCTTTTATAAACCATAAAGCTATAAACAAGGGACACTATAAATAAGACTCCATGTTTTAATTTATGATGTTTTTAAAGCTGTGTAAAGGGAGAATGAGGTGGTGATATTTACAAAAAAGTAAAAAAGAAAAAAAAAGAAAAAAGGAAAAGAAAGAAAGGAAGGAAGGAAGGAAGGAAGGAAGGAAGGAAGGAAGAAAAAAAAGCTTGTATGGGACAGAATAGGAATGCCAGTTAGATTTTTTTAGAGAACTAAGGGTGGGCTTTTGCGCCTTAAAGCATATCAGTGGTAATTAGTTCAGACCGCATTTCCACCCGCCCTCCCTTAGCAGAGCAAGCTTGTTCCTCTCTTTTGTAACGTTGTCTTAAGTAGCTGTAAATAAATGCAGCCTGGAAAGTTCAAAGGTGATGTTAAGTGATCACATCTTTTCCCTTCTACTCAAAAAATAAAAATAAAAAAATTAAAAATCCAGTGCCTCTAGACAGATTGCTAAAACTGCATATTTAAACTCAGTACATCCTCTCTTTTCCTTATGTCAACTTCTTCTGAAGCCAGTAGCCTCTTGAGAGCTTGGTAGCACCCTGCTGCAGACCAGTCACCTTGGAGATTTCACAGGACATGGTCCAGGCACAAAACTCCACTGTTGTTCTCCAGTGATCAAGCCAAAATCCCACCTACATGCCTCCATTTTCAAGATTAAAGTTTACTCACCCTACCTAGAATCCCACATACTGAACTTCACACTCATACTCAAACAGATAAAGTAAAATCAACCCACAAGGCTCCAGCTCACCACAGGGTCTCCAGCAGTAGGATCTTACCCTTTCTAACACCCAGATGCGGTCACCAGTGGAAAGCTGTGGAATTAACCAGAGGGAAGGAAAAGAAGGATGGGACCCCTCATACATTGTTTTCTGTTCTGTGGGAAGCTTTGCTCATCTAGGAAGTGTTCTTAAAGAATGAACGGTAAAGATGCAGCGAGGCTCTGAGGATGCATTGCCTGAGATTTTTCCCCCTTTGCTTTTTCCTTTTGTGTTTTTGTATGTAGTTATAAATACTGTAGATTTTTTTGTGATTTTTTTTTGCCAAAGTTGTTCTATTTATACATTTTAATGTCTTAACATGGTTTTTCAATCTCACAAAAAAAAAGATTTTACTGCAAAGGAAAAAAAACAAAGCTCACTACCTTTAGCTTGCACTTACTTGCGAAGTTAATTAAAAGGCTTTTTGTTTTAATGGGGATTTTTGTAAAATATCCATATAAATAATGTATTTATCTTTGGAATTTGTAAATTGCTTTTCCCCTTTCTCCTCTTCTTCCCACCCTCCAGTTTATTTTATTGTGTATGTTTGCTATGTGAAAAGTGTGTATTTGTTTGCTCATCTACAGTTGTATTAGCTGTTTCAATGTGATTTTTAAACATTTCATTTCTAGTTATTTTTAGTATTGTTTTAAACCATGCTTCAGTTTTTTTATTTCCACCCAAAAGCCATTGTCTATTTTTGTATTATTTGTAAGTTAAGAAGTTTTTTCCAATATATGGCAAAAAAAATAGTAGCATATTATTCTTGTAGTATTTAGTTCTGTAGACTAAAAAAAATGTATCCTTTGCTTTGGAAACTTACAAAAAATTAATGCTGTTTTACTCTATTAATATGCATGGAATCTCTCCCCTTGGAGTGACACATTTTGTGCATTAAATTTCGGGGTGGGGGGAGCAAGTTCATAGAAATCAGTGAACATACTTTCTTTCTTAAGTCTGCTTGTATATTTCCTCTGTCTCTCACATAAATATAAACCAGCAGATTGGATGCCTTAACAATGCAAATCATATTCATTTCACTTGTACATTGTAACCGTGCACCAAGAAACCCGTCATCAGTCATCACTAAACATTCTAAGAGAAGAGAAAAAGAAAAAAAAAAGAAAAAAATAACAAAGAAATTGAAAAGCACAAAAGAACTGTTTTGTTACCTTACGACAATGTAACTTTTTCTAGTAGAGCAAGAAATCATTTACGACAATGCTGCAATTGTGCATGCCCCGTATGGATTTTGCAATGGTTTTCACTAGACTGTCAGAGTGCGATTTTTATGGGTGGGGTGGGGGAGGGAGGGAGTTAGGGAAGGGAGGGGGTGGGCGGAAAGCTGATTTTTTCATGGTGAGAAATAATAATGATAACTAATAGTAATTTAAAAGAAAAAACTGGAAAATGTAAGTAAGGCTTAGCATTGCTTCTCGATACTCAGAAAAGATTTGTCTGAATTCGTGTGGTAAGTGCTGGCCTGAAGATGTATACAGTTTAAAGCCATATTTTGTCTGGTGAGCCCCTTAACTGTTTGCAAAGAAGTGGTCTGCCGGCGAGGTGTCCCGGCTCAGACACTGACAAAAAGATGCCACCAATCTGTGAGCCATGTGGTGTGGTTACAACTTTCCTTCAAAGTCCAAAGAGCCTTTAAAATGTGGATGATTTGTGTTTGGTTGCTTCCTTTTTTCTTTTCCTTTTTCCTTTTTTAAACTGATTAGATGGAAAGACGTTCTGGCCCTTGGATCCTCTTTTCTTCTACATAAACAAACATTGTACAAGTTCCTTTCCAATATGTCCCCCTAAAATGCAGAATATGGCTTTAAGAAGAAAAATGAAATAGAGAATTCACTTCCGATTTCAGTTTGGGGGGGGAACAGCCTCTGGATGACTGGATCACAGTCCATGCCCAGCCTCACGGTGGAGTTTAGATGCAGCTTGGTGAAGTCATCTCTGAATCTACTAACCTTTCACCTTCTTATCCAAACTTTTTTGAATAGACACACACTGTACAGTTCAATTGTTAGAGAACCTAACTACTGTAGAAATTGTTATAATTTTTTTTTTTTTTTGCAAAAATTCAAGCTGTAAAAACTTTTCAACTTTCACACTATTTAATTAAAGTTACTTCCTGTCTGTGATGGCTCCGGGTTGTGTGTTCATTTCTCTCTTGCAGATGAATAAAGCTCACTATAATGGAAAAGGTCTGTGTTTGCCTGGGACACCCACATTCTTTCCCGGTGGGTCCCCAGGGACTTGCTGATCTGGGATGCAAATTGAACTCATGCAGCGCACTGCTGCCCTCTGCCGGCCGCAGGTGGGCTTGCATCTGCCAGGCTGGCCCACAGAGTTGCCCAACCCATTCAGCAGTGAAAGCCTGCAGCAGGGACAGAATTGTGAACCTAACAACTGGTCACTTAAAAACATTGTCCTGAGTGCTGCACATCTGAGCCAAGTTCTTCACATACAAGAGCTAATTAATCCCAGTGAGTCTTCTGGTCAATTAATTATGTGGCCCAGCTCATTGACAGGGCATGTGTGAGCTCACAACTGGCTACAGTCTATACTTTTGTAACCTCCAATCAATCAGATGCGATTCCTGTTGGGTGAAACACATTCATCTGGAGTCACACCTTCCACCAGATGGGCACATTGGGCCATCCTGTTTCACTTAAGTTCCGCCCTAATCATAAGTTTTGCCAACTGCACTGTTGTATGCTTTGCCTGCTTTTGCAATTATCAGATAAGATAAGGTTAATGATGCTTGTAAAATGTCTTGATAACTCAGCAAATAACCGAAGTTCAACAGAAAATTGATGGCTAGAGCTAATAGGCTGTGACACAACCCCCAGACCCTCGTTTGTGAGGCAGGGGGTACCCGTGGGAACTTGCTGACAGCCCTTTGTCCTGGAGGACAGCCCAATCTAAGGATAATGTGTAAGTTAATAAGAAGATTCCATCCTTTAAAAAGAGGATTTCATACTGACTAAGAAGGCCATTTGCTAGGCATACTTGAAACTCTGCATTGGATGCAGAACATAAAAAATGAAATGGAAGGCCCCTGTTCTCAGGAAAATCACGGTCTCAGAAAGACAACCTGTATCCAAACCATCCTACTGTACGCTGAGGCAGGCATGCTACAGTGCTCCAGAGAATAAAAACCAGCCTACATGTCTGACATTCAAGCTTCTATACTCCTTCTTCAGGCCTGCCTGCCTCTTGAGAGTGTTAGCGCATTCAGTCATCCATGCATTCCTTCATTCCTGTAAGCCTCACGTGTAGCATGCCTCCCACATCAGCCAAAGCCTGGTGGCTGCACACCAAGGACAGCACCACTGCTCCAGTCTCTCAGAGCTTACGCCTGAATAGGGCACGCTGACACTAGGCAGCCACAGCCATACTATAGCCAACCAGCAATGGCAATGAAGGACTGGTCCGGAACGCTCTTTATGTACATTCTGGTGGGATCTGATGGGCTGAGAAAGGCAATGGAACTGTGCTGAGCTATGAAGAATGAGCCAAGGACCCCAGGCCTACAGAAGGTGGGCGGGTAGCGTGGCTGCACCTTGAGTTGGATTGGGTGCATTGAGGAAAAGAAAGTATGTGTGAGTGCAGTAGGCAGATGAACACAATGAGCTTGGGAAGTTCAATGCACAGCTCAGCATGCACTGAGCAACTCCTACAGGCATGGTCCCGATGCAGAGATATACTGAGCAAAGGAACTGAGGTTCCTATTGTAGCCTAAGATGAGTTCATTTGTTCACAGGGTCTGTGCCGAGTATCAAACAATGAGAGCTATGTAGATAGAACAGGCAGGACATAGAATTGTCTGCGGCTGTCTTCACTATATTTTCTCATTATTCGTATCTCAATAAATGCTTATTATCATGATCAAGTGTGGAGTCTCCTCTGTTCTAACAAGGGGGTCTAAATGTATACTAGAGGTGTTTTCTTGGTAGCTACAGGAATGAACTGGAGGAGATGAGGGCATTAGGACCACTCATGAGGAGGCTACTGTGGTGGTCCAGGCAAGACAGAGCTGTGATTCTATAGGGAATCCAACCAACACTGTTTGCTGACCAACGCAACCTGGGCGTGGAGGGGGTGGGTTGAAAAAGATAATGCTTAGTTCCCTTTGCTTTATTTTGTTTTGGTGCTGGGGACTGGATCTGGGACCTCAGTCACCTCCAGCCCTATGTTGAAGAAGGGTTGATACTCCTGGCTGTGGTGCTGGTGACTCCCCCTTCTTTCTGCTTCCTCTGTTTCTTTCCCTTCTTCCAAATGTAATTCTCTTCTCCAGAGGCTTCTATATTTACATTAGGAATAAAATTCAGTTTCCGGAACTGGAAATATTTTGTTACTTTTTTTTTTAACTGAAGCATCAAGCAGTTTTATGGCTTTTCTCTGGAGAGTTATGCTACAGTGGGACTGATTTTTATCTACTTAGCATACATTCTTCCCACTGATGGTAGAATTTGCACATTCTATGTTAAGAAGCACAGTTCCGACTCCTGGAATTAACCAGAGGTCCGACGACCATCCTTCATTCTGCAGTCATCAGAAACATCTCGTGCAGAGAATTTTAGCCTATAAGGAAAGCTTAGCGTACAACAAAGATGTTGATGAAATGTCAGTTTTAAAGAAAAAGAAGGCAATGCACTGGCAGTGATTCACTCAATGGGCTGGATGCAGCCAGGCTGCTCTGGGGAGCAGGACAGCAGTTCTAATGTTGGGATCAGGCAGGTCTCCAGGATAACTGGCTAGCTACAGACTATCAAAAGCAAAAACCACCCAGCAGCCCCGGCCTCCTCAAATCCCTTGTTTATTATTTAGTGCCAGAAGAGAAACCTGGGGCCTGTAGACAGGAAAGAAGTCATCCGCCAAAGGAGCCACATCCAGGCAACCGTTAGGCACACCTACCAAGGGTCCAAGGAGAAGCACGAGACCCCAGGGGCCAGATCAGGAAGAACAAAAGCAGCATGTCCCAGAGACCCTCCTCCCCCATGCTGCCACCCCACCCCTTCACACTGAAAATATCAACGTCAACAAATGTTTGCAACGGACAGCTGCGATCCATCACTCGCACCAAGATAAAAAATCCAAAAAACTTCTCAACATAACTCACGGTTGATTTAGTTGTTCACTCAAGGCCTCAAATGGCCGAGTGTGTGCCAGCCCCGGCTCGGAGCTGGGTGTAAGTGGGGCCAGCACAGGTGACAGTCCGACGTAAAAACCAAAGCAAAAGGTGAAAATGTAGTGCAATGGAGAAACCGATTCAAATAGTACCCGGCCCACAGGGAAGGCAGACTCATGGCACTGAACTGAGTAGGCAGGTTGACATTGGAAAGCCTGAATTGGCCGTCAATAGCCACATTTGGTCAAAAAGGCTGCATGAAAGAGTTCAGAAAAGGACCTGCCCAATCACAAACACAGCTGAGAGAGTGCCATGGCAATCCACACTGGAGAATGGAACCATTTCTCATGCCCAGACTACCACCCCTATCCACTGAGACCCCCAAGGTAAACTGCAGCCTCAGCATAAAGGAAAAAACATGGCCCAGCCCCCAAGACACCATCAGGAGCATACTCTAAATCAAGGATGGAGAACCTGAAAGGACCCACATGTCCCCGTGGATCCGTCCCACAGCACGGCAGCCTACCCGGGAGACGACACAGGAGCTTTCTACCCCAATTGGGAATCACAATCAAGTCTAGAGAGAAGGGCAATTTTGAGAACAATTTTGATATGCTTTGGCACCTAGAATCCATTGGTATAGATGGGCACCAGTGGCTCATGCCTGTAACCCTAGCCTCTCAGGCAGGAAAGTCCATGAGACCCTTACTTCCGATTAACCACCAGAAAATAGGGAGTGGCTCTGTGGCTCAAAGTGGTGGAGCTAGCACTGAGTTCAAGGCCCCCCAACTGACAAAAATAAAAAGAATTTACTGGTGTAAATACATTTTAAAACTCCACATAGGGCTTGAGAAAGTTGTATTGGCAAAGCAGTGGCCATCCTGGCCGTAAGGAGACTGTGGCCAGTCGAGATATCCAAAGGACAGACATCTGGATTCCTCACATTTCTAGGGGCAGGAAGTGTGAGAACACTGCTCAGTTGGCAGTTACGTCACACCCTT